GGGGGGGGGAGACACTTGGCAAGGATTAAGATGAATGGGAAATTAATAACAGGTTTAAATAATTGCCCGTCTGTCTCCCCCACAGGGTGCCCTTGCTCCAGATGTTGCTCAGCAGGACTTGGGGAAGAAGGAAATGATAGGAAACAAACAAGAGCTCAAGGGCAAAGAGAAAGAAAGGCCCGGCTCCAGGGCTGGAAGGGCCGTGGCAAGGGGCAGTCTGTGGGCTCCACCAGGGGCTGCCCTCCCCGACAGGTGCCACACAGCAGCTTCCTCCTGGAGCTGGCCGGGTAAGCCCAGCCTGCCCACTGGCCCTCGGCGCTGTGGACTAGACTGTCCCCTGGGTGCACAGGGTGCCCCCGACCCAGGCAAGCCATGGGCAGCTCTGTAGATTGGGGCCCCGCCTGGCCTCCTGAGCCGTCCTAGGGAGCACGGTGAGCAGCCTGACCGGGTGGTCCCCCCAGGGCCTAGGGAGGCTTACCTGGCAGACACATACCCCAGCCTGTTCTCCAGGGGCACAGGGCCGCTGCTGAGCAAAGGGAGGCCAGCTGCAAGAGGGAGCGCCAACAGCTCAGGAATGGGAGGCGTGGCCAAGGCAGCACCCCCAGAACACACATGAGCAGGGGAAGTTTCAGTGGCGGTAGGTGAGACAGGTGACAGACAGAAATCGGCCCACTCATTTCACTCCCAGAATGTACCCCACTTGTCAATGCGGGCTGGAGCAGAAAGAATGCTTTTAAAAACGCTTGCTTTCAAATGACTGTGTTATTATGTCTTTTTACATTCCTCAGCAGGGCTCGGAGACCAGGGGAGGCCACCTGGCCCAGAGCAAAAAGCCACATAGCCAAGGGGATATGAGTGGGATCCTGGATCCGCAGAGACATGAGGTCAAAACCCAGTGCGTTCCTCCCTGAGGACCCTGGGGCCTATTTATCCTTCTCATCTGTTTCCCATCTGTAAAATGGGGATAAATAGTTACTACCTCAGAGAATTCTTATAAAGGACTAAATAAAACTGTTTATAAAATGCCTGGCCCACGAGATGAGGCAGCATTATGATGACAATGACGACCTTTTAAGGTCTACTGCGCTCTGGATCCAGGACAAAGACCCTACTCGGCCCAGGCTCCATTCGAATCCTCCTGACCCACAGAGCTGCAACCGCGGGGCCTCCTTGGGTCTCCTTCTCCAGGGACCATCCGGATAAAGTCAATGGACCATTGGACCTTGACAAGGTTGGTGGGAAGGAATAGGCGGAAGAAACAGCAAAAGGGAAGAGGAGGAGAAAGAGGGCAGAAGAGAAGGAAGAAAGAGGAAGAAGGGGACGGCGGAAAGGCTTGCCTGGAGGGAGGCTCACCTGGAAAGTACTTGCTCCATTTCTCCTCCAGGAAGTCATCCACTGTTTGAGCCACGGAGGAGGAGAGCCGGGGTCCCAGCCCAGGGTCCCAGGCCCACCGGGTGGACACGGGTGTAACAGAGGATGAGGCCGAGACCCTGGTCAGAGAGGGGTGGGTGGGAGTGGGGGTGCCCCTGGACGGCCGCAGAGGGTCCTGAGTGGGCGTGGAGAAGCGTGGTGGGGGCGGGGGCGGGGGCGGCAGCAGCGGCGGGGGGGAGGGGGGGG